GCGGTGCGCGATGCCAGCATACGTACACTTGCTGGTAAAGATACGCATCGACAGCATCCGTTCGTACATTTCGAGATCCGGCGTCATCTCTGCCACCTTGTCGTCACGCTCGCGCCGCCTGTCTTCCAAGGCTGTGGTTTCGCGTAGCAACTGTCAGCAGGATGGGGGACAATGCGGGCAGCAGGCGGCATGCGCGGCAACAGCAGATGCAGGGCACCTTGGCGACGCGACTGGATCTCGGCGTGCATCTCGTCGGCTTGACGGTGCAGGCTGTCGAGCTCGGCCTTGCGGCTGGCCTTGGCGACCGCCAGCTGGGCGATCTCTGCCTCCATGTCCGTCTGCTCTTTGCGCTGCCGCTCGTGCTCTGTCATCCACGATGCAGGCAGCGTCCGAGGGTGAGTACACGAGTGCATGGTGGCAGAACCGGCACGGAAGCGACTCGTTTGAACCCACGTTGCAGCGAGTCCGCCTCGGCACTCTTGATGGATTCCAACTGAGCCGCGAGCTCGTTGCGCCGTGCTGTGGTGGTGGTGGTGGTGGTGGTGGTGGTGGTGGTGGTGGTGGTGGCGGCGTCAGTGCATGCAGCAAGCACGGACACGGCAGGCAAAGACAAGGAGCGGCGGCACGCACCGGCGAGGTCCTTGACGTCCTTGACAAACTGCGCTCGTGCGTCGGTCATGTCGCTGTGCTTGGCAAGCGTCCAGGCCTCAAACTGCTGCAAGAACGACGCACAGACCGTCTTGACGTCCACAGGCACAGCCGCCGGTGTGACGCCTGCACTCTGTCCACTGCCAGCCGCAGTGCCAGCCGCCGCAACCAGACCACCGACGGCCTGGCGAGCACCAAGAGCCTGCGATGCAGACACGGCGGCAGCGGCGGTTACGGACGCAGCGGCCTTGGCGGCTGCCATAGACGGTCGGCCCGGCGTGAGTGGGTCGTAGCGAGACGGGTCTCTGAGGGGTGCAGGTGTGCGCGGAGGCTGCGTTGTGGCCTCGTTGTTGCTGTTGCTGTTGTTGTTGTTGTTGATGTTGGCACTGGCAGCACCAGAGCCTCCCAGCGGCGGCAAGAACGACACGGACGACGCTCGCAGCATCTTCGGTGATCTTCGGACTGCGCGTTGCGAGGACAAGTTGCTGATGAGCGAGTCGTCGAGGGATCGCGTGTGGAAAGGACAGAAAGCCAAGAGTCCTGGGGACGAGACCGGTGAGCTTGTTGGAGGCATGGCTGTTCAGCCGCGATGATCGCCATGCACTGGCACTGGCACTGGCAGCGAGGACCAGATCTGCAGCCAGATTCATTGAGAGAAGAGTTGCAAGATACAGAGACTACTGCTGTGGCGCTTCAAACGGATTGCTGCCGCTGGAAGAAGACTCTGTTCGTCCAGCAGCAATCGACTGCTGCTTCGACCGCACGCCCTCAAACACGGTCATCATCTGCGTGACCATGCTCGCCGCGTCTGACACGTTGCCCGGCACAATGACCGTTGTGCCCTCCTTGGCAAGCTGCCCAAACGCCTGAATGTACTGCTCGGCAACAGCAAGCGCGACGGCATCGCGGCCAGACGAGCCCTCCTTGCGGATCGACTCGGCCATGCGGGTGATGGCGCGCGCGTTGGCTTCGGCGCGCATGAAGATGGCCTGTGCCTCGCCCTCGGCGTAGTTGATCTGCTTGGCCTTGACGGCCTCGGACTCGAGGATCAGCGACTGCTTGTGACCCTCGGCCACGTTGATGGCTGCCTGTCTGATTATTGCGCCATGCAATGCAATGTGAGTCTGCGGGCTGCATCCATCCATCCGCGCGTTCATCCAACAGACAGGCAAGCACGCAAGCAAGCACGAATCGCGCACCTTGCACCCTCACTCTCGAGAATCTCTGCGCGCTTCTTGCGCTCAGCGCTGACCTGCTGGTGCATGGCCGTGACGACATTCTCTGGCGGCTGGATATCACGGATCTCGTATCTGAGACACTTGATGCCCCAGTTGGCCGATGCGGCATTCATGGCCTCGACGATGCCCGCGTTCAGCTGAGACCGCTCTGCAAGCGTGCGGTCCAGAGTCATCTGGCCAATCTCTGCGCGCATGGTCGTTTGCGCCAGCTGCGACACGGCAAAGTCTGCGTCCTCGACGCCGTACGAGGCTTTGTAGGGATCGACAACGCGGTAGTAGAGCACACCGTCGAGCTGCAGCGTGACGTTGTCCTGGGTAATGGCGTTCTGGGTGGGGATCTCGACAGCGACCTCCTTGAGGCTCTTGACGTACGAGACGGCGTCGAGCACGGGGATCAGGATTGCGAGGCCCGGCTCGAGAATGCGGTGGAACTTGCCCATGCGCTCGACGATCCAGGCCTCCTGCTGAGGCACAAACTTGACAATCTGGGTGGTGGAAGCGGAGGGTCAGTGGAGCATGAGCAGATGGCCAGATGGACACATGAGCACATGCACAAGCACATGCACAAGCACGTTGGCACGCAGCAACCCACCGTGTTGACGGGCAGCGAGCGGCCGCCAGGGCCTGTGCCTGCAGCAATGCCGCCGCCAAAACCGCCAAAGCCGTTGGACGACCACGAGTCGGACAGCGCTCGGCCGGCATGGAAGCTCCGCGCCAGGGACGGCGTGGCAGCGGGCGTGGCCGCAGCCGAGCGGGCGGCTGCGCATGGAGAGCGGGCCGCGAGTGCCGGGCAGGCAGCGGCAGCCAGCGGCGCGCAGGCAGCCGACCGAGCGGCGACGTGTCTGTGCAAGGCGAGCATGTTGCGTGTGTGATCGCCGTTTGTGGTTGCCAACGATCACGGACAGTTGGACGGCAACAACTACAACGACAACAACCGCAACAACAACCACCACAACAACAACCGCAACAACCACAACAACCACACACAGAGCCATGCTGTCCCTCAGACCCACGGCGCTCTTGTCTGCGCTGCCGCATGTGCGGGCGGCTGCCCCGCATGCCCGCTCGGTCTCGGCGTCGGCTGCATCGGCTGCGTCGGCCAGCAGAGAATCAACGGCGGCGACCACGGCTGCGGCTGCACCGGCGACAAAGGCCAAGCCGGCGTCCCTGCGGGTCACCCACCCCCGCACGGTGTTCAGGAGCCAGATGAAGACGCTGCGCAGACAGTACCAGCTCGAGCTCGCCGAGCTGTCCGCCAAGCGTGCGTCCGACCACTCTGCCGAGGACTCGGCCCAGGACGAGCTCGTGCGCCGTGCAAAGGACATTGAGGCATTCCGCAAGCAGCGCGCCGCCTACCTCAAGGGCATTGACGCCTTCATCGCCCCCATGAACGTGCCCACGCCTGTCGATGCCGTGCTCAAGTCGTCGCCGTCGTCGTCGTCGTCGTCGTCGTCGCAGTCTGTCTTTACGTCCAAGCGCCAGTCCCTCCGGGGCGATGCCAGCAACGCCGATCAGGGCAACCCGCTCGACGCCGTGTTCGAGGAGCGCAAGGCTCTCTGGCGCTCGTACATCGACACCCGTCGCGCTCGCCGCTTCCAGAACCTCGCCACGTTCAGATCCACCGAGTCCGAGACCCGCATGGACTCCCTCACGTACCTCTTCCACTCGGCCGCCAACTTTGTCACCTACTCCAACATGGAGGAGAAGCTCGAGACCGCCGTCCGCGTGTCTGGAAGCGTCAACAACCCTTCCATCAACGAGCTCCTCGCCTCGGCCAACCAGCAGGAGCTCTCGGGCGAAAGCAGCTATTCCGCGTCGACGTATGGCCAGGTGTCCCCGAGCCCCATCGGCATGCGGTCGGCACTGGGATCGCCGTCGGCCAAGGACCGTCGCGAGCTGGCTCTGAAGAACGCGCTGCTGGGCACGACCAACAATGACCAGCTGGATGCTCGCGCCATCCGCGAAAAGCACGAGGCTCGTGCACGGATGATGGCGGATGCCGATGGACATATCCCCGACAGCGAACTGCCTTCGTTTGCCAAGAAGCCTGCCCAGGCTTGAGCCCTATTGTCGCCATGCCGTTGGGTTTGTCTGCCTGCACGTCTGCATGTCTGCACGTCTGCCACTTTAAAAATGAATGCCGTTTCCCACATTCCCACAAGCTTGGCACATATGCGCGTCGTCTTCAACGTTGTTGCTGCTGTTGCTGCCGTTGTGGCCCTTGCTTTGCAGCCAACCGTCGCCGCCTGGCCGCTTGTTGCCGACCCAACACCAACCACCGAGATGAGCCCTCGCGAGCCCATGACCAACACAAGCATTCCATCGCCCATTCCCATCGACATCACGCCCACTTTACCCGGCAACCTCACGCTCGGAATGCCGTGCGGCGGCATCGCGGCAGCCATCTACCGCTGCCAGCCGCACCTCGAGTGTTTTGTGGCCAACACGCTCGTGTCTGACGCACAAGGCGTGTGTATCGACCCCCACACAACACGCTTCCGCGGCCTGGGCGACAGCTGTGGTGGCCGGCGCATGTGGATGCACGCTCTGCAGGACGTGTGTGGTGTTGGGCTTGTTTGCCGCAGCTGGTCGGGCCGCGACGGTGGACGCGGTGTGTGCGTCGCCATCACGTTTGAGAACAGTGAATGAATCCACCGTTTATCATGACTCTCATTCATCGGTATGATGCTACAAATACGGGGGCATGTTTGGCCAACGCCAAGGGTGGCGTGCTGTCATTTGAGGCGTTCACATCAACGTGCGAGGCAATTGGCAGCTCGGCGCTGCTGTCATGTCCGCTGTTCCAGATCGAGGTATGTTGGCAGCTTGCCGCTTGGATTGCGAGTGATCATTGCTGACTTGCTTTTGATGGCAGGATATCACCGTCTATGGTGCCCAGTTTGCCCAATGAGCTCAATAAAGCGAGACACTTTTTCGTATGGTGACGTTGCCATCAATGAGCTGCTTGTTCAATTTTCTCGATGCTCTTTCCAGCTGTGTGCTGAATGTGTCGTCCAAGTCGGTAAAACCAGCGAGAAATGCCAATCCTGCAAGCAGCGTTGTGTTTGTGCCACTAATGACATAGTGTTTCTGGAGGATTTTGATGATGTGAGAGGGCCCGTGGCTCAATGGTAGAGCACTCGACTCCAGATCGAAAGGCTGCGCGTTCGATTCGCGTCGGGCTCAACTCTCCTTTTGCCCATCGTGGCAATCTTGCTGCCACTCGCTGCATCGATCCTCTCTCTCTTTTTGGCATCTCCTGCTACGTCGATGGGGCTCTCTGGTGGGCTGAGCGACCCTGCTACACGCTGCCCTCTGTCTGGCTTCTTGTTCAACCTGCTCCTCAACGACAGCCTCAATGGCATCCTCAGACCGGCATCCTTGCTGTGGCCAACGGTCATGGCATCCGTGCGCTGATGTGTGCAGACAATGTGGTTGTTCTTGCAGAGTTCGCATGCGACAAGGGCGGACAAGTGGCTGCTGTGTGGCATTTGGATGTGATATGACATGATGCCATGCACAACGGAGTGATATGACAATCCGTCGTATGACCAGCCGCAAGTATAAATAGACCCCCGCAGCAGCACATCTTCCATCCTATCATCCAGCTCCACATCTACCAGCCATCCAAGCAGCCCGATCATGACCATTCCGACATACAACGTCCTCCTTGTCGGCGAAACTGGTGCTGGCAAGACCACCCTCATCAAAGCAATTCATGACTATGCCGGCGTCAGAGTCATGCCAACCTCGCTCAAGATCGGCGATGGCAACTCATCGACCACCAAGACGTGCACCAGGTACTCGTCCTCATCCACCCAAAAGACTGCTCTCCTCGGCAACAACGACGAGAGGATGGATGTTGACTCGCTGCTCGGCAAGCTCCTGACGGACGCCAATGGAAACATCAGGGCTTCAACCTGGAAGGTTAACCACCATGCCAAGGAGGAAGTTGAAGATCTCCCTTCAATCTCGTTGACACGGCTGGCAAGGAGCCGTTCATCCTCAACATGCAAGTGACATCCTGCCATGCCGTGATAGCACACTGTGGAGCATCTTGCTGACATTCCCATGCAACCATGCTATCCCACATCCATGCAACCATGCACAGCATCGACACGCCTGGCTGCAATGAAGCGAGACAAGGACAAGCCCATGATGGACGCCAAGCATCTCATCAACATCGCGCGCACTCTCAACAGCGTTACCGCCATCCACGCCGTCGTGTTTATCATGCGGTCGACAGGCGTGCTGAACGCTGGCATGCAGGCTTCGATCGGCGCTTCCTCGACAACTTTGCTGGCATCACCGACAATGTCATTGTCATGCACACCGGCTTTGACGCTGCCAATCACATCAAGGCGTGTTATGAAGCGAACCGTCCCGTCTCGTTCAGGGCCAGCGAAGCACTTTCGGATCGCATTGATGCTGTCAACAGAGAGCTGCTGCAGCGTGGCAACCGCAACATCCATGCGACTCATATCGGCATCGACAGTCCCAAGGTGCGCATCCCAGGCGACATCGACTCTCCTCTGGTCCACGCCGTGGCATTTGATGCCATCAACTCGCTGCTCAAGCAGATCACTGCGTTTGGCGACAAAGGCAGGGCTGTCAGCCAGATCACCGTCATCAAGCCAAAGGTCGTGACGGATGTGGACGAGATGTCAAGGCCAAGCTCGAGTCAAAGGTCGCCTCACTCGATCTTGAGGTTGGCGCGGCTGCTGCAATGCTCAACATCGACAAAGGCGAGCTCAATGCGGCCATTGATCACATCGCTGCCCTCAACAACGACATCAAGAATGGCATGGCCAAGCTTGCTCGTCTCAACACGAACGACCTGATCGAGGTTGGCGAGATTCGCTGGGATGAGCCTTGGTTCCCGTTTCCCGCCCCCAGCACCAAGACCATCCACTCGGACCACCAGATTGACGAGATCAGGAAGGACATTTACGAGCACAACTGGACCGAAGGTGAAAGCCGCACGAAGCACTCGTACAGCTTGAAAGTGGGACATACATGTTCCGAGGCATTCATTCGTCTGCCAGAGTGTACTCGTACTCCAAGACGTCCACAAGACACGATCACTGGTATCCGCAAGGACATTGACGGCTGGACGCGTGAGCTCAGACGGTCAACAAGCTCAAGGAGAGTCTCATCAAGGGCGAGGCAACTGGCATCGCGACGGTTGATCGTCTCGCAAAGGAGAAGGAAGCTATCCTGCACGCCAAGAATCTCATTGCCGACAAGGAGATCCACCTCGACATCCTCGAGCTCGCCATTGACAAGTACGAGGAGATTGCCAAGGACCGCTCCCTGCCAAAGCCCGTTGATGATCTCGTTGACATCTACCTGGCCTGCGACCAGGGCTACTTTGTGATCAAGCATGCCGTCGATGCCACCAACGATGACATGAACTTGTTTGACTACAACAACGGTGTGTCCATCACAGTGTTCCGCGACAAGAGCAAGCCGAGGACTACTATAAGAGCCTTCCTGGCTCGTGTCCCAGGATCCTGACTGATCGCCGCACCATCCTGCTGTCTCATATTCCCAGCTATGGCGGCGCGACTTCCAAGCGCAGCGAGGCTGTTAGACTCCGTCTCTGCCAAGTGATAAGAGTCGTAGTTGCCATCTGTCTATTGTGTGCATGGGATTGAAAAAACCACTCGTGTCTCTGTGAGCTTTGCCAACAACCGTCAATTCTGGTGGCGGCATGGAGGACAAGTGCGGCAATCACGTCTTCATTCCAACAACAACAACGGATCTTGGCGATCCATTCATCACTTGCTTGATGCTTCCAGTTTCTGGATGGTCGCTCGGAGTCTCTTGACCGTGACCATGGTGGCATCTCCTCGGTTCGCTCGGACAAGCAGCGCCTGTGCCTGATCCAGTGTGAGGCTGCCAAGCAGGATATCGGCGACTTCAGTAGTCGTGGCACGGTTGAGCACCTCGAGTTCAACCACGTATCCGCACTCCATCAAGTACTGCAGCATCTCGGTACTGCCTATGCGGACAACAGACTCAATGGCGTTGCTTGGTGCTCGAGCGCCTTTGGAGTGCATGTACTTGATGACGTCCAAGTGTCCACGGCTGATGGCGGTATCCAGTGCGGCGGTTGTGCATTCAAACCCGCGGGTCTCGTGGAGCCACTCAATCACATGCAAGTGGCTGTTTTTAGCTGCGCGATCCATCGCAGCAGCCGTGCACCCTTCCGTCCTGTTGGCATGCAGCCACTTGATGACATGCTTATGGCCGTTGGCAGCCGCCCAATCCATTGCCCGATATGTGCATCCTTCCGTCCTGTTCTCGTGGAGCCACTTGACGACATGAAGATGACCGTTGCGAGCCGCCGAGTCCATCGTAGTCGACATGCATGCCACACCGAGATCAAACAAGTACTGCACAACATCGAGGTGTCCATTGCTCGCTGCTTGATTAACTGCCTCGTCCCAGTAGTCGCTTGTTGGCTCGTGCCTGGCCATCCAGTCTTGGAGCGTCTTGTACTTGTCGTCAAGATGCTTGAGCAGATCGAGGCATCCAAAGCGGATGGCCATCTGAGCGAGTGCGATCGGATACGTAAAGTCGATCAGATCGAACCAGCCGTGTCGCATGGGAATGAGAAGCAATCGACGTTCATCCCAGTCACCGTCATAGAAGTCCGTGCTGTAGTTGTTGTAGTGTTCGTCGTCACTCGCATAGTTGGCATCGGTGTAATCGGGAAAGCGCTTGCAGAGACGGCGGTACATGGAGCGAGAGTGTGCGAGGAGCAGGCCGTTGTCGGCAGACAGCTCAACGTCAGGCAGCAGATCCAGATCGCCCTGCCAGTCCATCTTGAACGCATCGGTCCACAGCTCCACTTGGTGGCTTGGCTGAGTGTGGCCGTCGCCGAGCAGTCCGCACAGGAAGCGTGTGAGCGGACCGGCGTTCTTGAGGATCATGGCGTGGATCTCGGCGGGCTTGCCGTCCCAGTGGCTGCGTCTGTATGCAAGGTCGCTGGTGGCTGGTGGCACCACATAGCGAGGCACACATGGCTGTGCAGTCGTTGCTGCTGGCCGACCTGGCTCGACGGCTTCGCTGCCACTCGCTCCGACGACCTGCTCGACTGTGCTCAGCAGCTGGCTCTGCAGAAGGCGCACTTGCTCGTCGCTGGCTGCTGCTGCTGCGTCTGCGTTGCCTGCCGTCTGCGTCGTCGTCATCGTCACAGCCGCTTGTTCGCTTTGTGGTTGTCTGGACAAGATCCACTCGACGCGATCGTCCAACAAGTGCCATTGCAACAGATGAGAATGTGGGACATGCACCGACACGGCATGCCATGGTGCACAGTGTGGCTGGCGTGGTGGACTAGACGTAGGGGCTGGCTCTTGGAGGAAGCATACAATGCGGAACCTCGAGGCTGATGGGTTGAGCGGACTTGCTGCAAGCGTCGCTTGTGGTGATCCAGCTTGAACTCTGAGCACACAAACTGCCTGCTGTAGGGCAGTGGTCCTACGAGATTGCTGCCAATGAGCCCATGTTATGGCTGGTGAGACATGCTATGAGAGCATTTGGAGTCATATCGTCACTTGCCCAACAAAACTACATCGAAAATGTTCGTGTCGCCATCCATGTTCCGACGCGAAGAGCGCATGACCGTCGCTCGCAAGGACACGCAACGCAACCTGCGCGACCTGCGTCGTGACCGTTCCGAACTCGAGCGTCACGAGAAGCAGCTGGTGCGTCGCATTGCCCGCTGTCTCTGCCAGCCTCTTTACCACTGCCCTCTGTCCTTATCACGCTACTGATGCTCGTCCGCGCGAAAGACAGATGGCCCAGCTCAGGATGTTTGTCAAAAAGGGCGACTTTCCCAAAGCCAACCTGCTGGCCAAGCAGATTGCGCTCTACCGCAACCTTGCCGACAAGAACTTTGAGCGTGGCGTGGCCATTGAGACTGAGATCCAGGTCTGTTTGCCCTTCTGTCCGTCCGTCTGTCAGCCTGCGCTCCGCGCTCCCGGCGACCAAACTGACGCGGCTGGGGCGTGGTCTGTATAGGTGCTGCTGTCCAACCACAAAATCAATCGCGCTCATGCCGAGTCCATCAAGGTACGCCGTGTCTCGCGGCCGACCCATGTCACTCGTCTGCCGCGTGACCCGTCTGCCTAACCACATCGGTGCCGCTGCAGGGCATCAGACACTCCAACATGGAGCAG